CGATCGCCACTTTCACAATCGGGGCTTTTTTGCGGAAAACAAATCTCTGCTGTCTACACTGGCCCTTTTGCGCAAAAGTTTTTCGGAAACAGACTTTTGCTCGAATGGGAGCAGCATAGTATTTCCGCAAAAGCACTGACAAACTTACATGAGATCGTCAGTGCTTTTGCGGAAATTCAAGCGGCCAAGTGTAGACAGCTGGCGAATCAAGTGGTGCCTTGGCCAGTGCCAGTCCAAAGAAGGGGAGTGCCTCATCACAGCAGGCTTCCCTCACAAGGACAACTGCCTGGTCAATGCTGGAGGCTTAAAGACAACTGCCCAAGGTGGTGGTACAGTTAATTCAATTAAGTCTCTGATAGCCCCAAAAGTATTAGGCATTGCAGGCTCGATCAACTCCACCTCTACGTGATCAGTGAGGGAGCTTATGTTTGGGGCTGCCACATGCGTGGGGCTGTGCAGGCTTCTGCTGCAGTCTCCATCACCCCACTCCCTACTCCTCCCCTTCCTCCCATGCAGGATCCTGCTTAATTGGTAGGTTAACTGATTAACCAAAATTTTATATTTCCAGCAGTGTATATAACAAAATAGTATTTTTCATTTCACCTAATACAAAAACACTAGCGCAGTCATGAAAGTTGATCTTACAAATGTAGCATTATGTAGGAAAAAAAAGCACATAAAAAAAAACCATGTAAAGCTTTAGAGCCTATAAGTCCACGCAGTCCTACTTCTTGCTCAGCCAATTGCTGAGACAAACACGTTTTACATTTGCAGGAGATAATGCTGCCCATTTTTTGTTTACGATGTCACCTAAAAGTGAGAACAGGTATTCACATGGTACTGTTGTAACCAGTTTCACAAAATATGTATGTGCCAGATGTGGTACGGCTACATATGTCTTTTCGTGCTTCAACCACCATTACTGGGGACATGCAACCACGCTGATGACAAGTTCTGCTCAATGATGTCCAAAGCAGGCCAACATATGCTCCTTTTATTATCTGAGTCACATGCCACCAGCAGAAGGTTGATTTTCTTTTTTGGTGTTTCAGGGTCTGTAGTTTACGCTTTCGAGTGTTACTCTTTCAAGACTTCTGAAATAATGCTCCACCATTCCTCTGAAGATTTTGAAAGGCATGTCAGATACTTAAACCTTGGGTCAAGTGCTCTAGCTATCTTTAGAAATCTCACATTTGTACCTTCTTTGTGTTTTGGGTGCCACGGTAAGGTGGTGCTCAAGAGACTGGGTGGTAATCAGTGATCCACGGGCCAGAATCGGTTTGCCAGGGTTAGCCTCTGGTGGGCCACCAAACACTTTATTTACCTGAGCATCTACAGGTACGGCCACTCGCAACTCCCACTGGCCACGGTTCGCTTTTCCCAGTGAATGGGAGCTATGGGAAGCTGTGCAGGCTGGGCCACCAGGTAGTGGCCACCTCAACCAACTTACATGTAGGACTCGCGGGGCCCAGGACAGCCTCTGGGAGTATATGGGGGGGTGGAGGGGCCTGGTGCAAGATGGTGGCAGGCGTCAGGCCCCTTCACATTCACTGAGGCTGGAATCGGAGCAAGCCTACTTTGCTCCTTTGCCCATCTCCCAGTGCACTGTGCTTCGCTTCATTGTGGCAGAGGGAAGAGGAGCATCCTAACCCTGGCCCACTCTGCTCCCATGAGCAATGCAGGGCTCAGGGGAGCAAATAGGAACAGGCTAGGGCCAGACGCTCTGCTTCCCGCCACCGTGGTAAAGCAAACCACAGCAGGCTAGAAAATGGGTAGGGGAGTGGAGCAGGCTGCTAAAGGGGTCCAGCTCCTACTGCCGCAGTGAGTGAAGGGGGCTTAAACCCTGCTGCCATCCTACCAGGTCCCCAATGTAATCCCCTGGCTGTTCTAGTTACCCCTTTCACTAAATCCTGTACTCCACTTAAAATGTAATCAAGAATTTTCTCTGCTCTCGTGGGTTCCAGAACTAGCTGCTCTAAGAAGCAGTCATTAATGCATCTAGTCTCTGCATCCAATCCTGAGGTGACATGTAGCAACTCAATATGGGTCCATATGTACAGTGAAACCTTTGGCTGTGTCCAGACTCAGGGGTTTTTTCGAAAAAAGTAGCCTTTTTTCGAAAAAAACTTCACCTGCGTCTAGACTGCAGCCACGTTCTTTCGAAATTAAATTGAAAGAATGCGGCTTTTCTTTCGACGGTGGTAAACCTAATTCCACGAGGAAGAACGCCTTCTTTCGAAAGTGCTCTTTCGAAAGTGCTCTTTCGAAAGAAGGCGTTCTTGACAGCAAACAGGCTTTTTAGAAAGAGAGCATCCAGACTCACTGGGTGCTTTCTTTTGAAAAAGCGGCTTGCTTTTTCGAAATTCCGCGTGCAGTCTAGACGCGCTCTTTCGAAAGAGGCTCTTTCGAAAGTATCTTTCGAAAGAGCCTCTTTCGAAAGAGGCTTGCAGTCTAGACATAGCCTTTGTTATCCGGCATTCTGTTAACCAGAAAACTTTGTTAACTGGCATTGCTCCCAGCCACAATACTGTCACATCTTCAGGCGCACAGACCTGGCTTGGTTTACCATGAGTGGCTTAACAATTTTTTATTTAAAAAGTACTTTAACTCAAAATAGAAATGGGAGACCAACTGCCTCACACTACAAAACTACCAATATTAAAAACTTGAGTTTTACTATTATTGTCCATTGGTTTTTCCTAGGTTGCTGGGACCCTCAGATAATCGGAATGCTCCAATCCCCCAGCATACCAGATAACACAGGTTTTACTGTACTATGCATACTTATTATCCCTTATCAGAAGAGTAATCATGAAAGAAATTTTGTACTTGAATGTAACAATTTAATAGCCCTTTAATTATATTATTTTCAAAAGCTACTTGATTGAAGAGTAATAAAAACATAAGGCTAGCTAAGCTGTTCATTTTTTCAGTTTAGCGAAACTGTTATTTCTATCAATAATATTTCCCTTGCCATGGTAATCAAATGACATAAGTACCTGCATTTTTTGCCATGAGTAAAAACTCATGGAATGGATTTTGCAAATATTTAGACAAGTGACTGTATTCAAGAGAGACATCCCACTGAACTGAGCTGAAACAGATATTGATTTCAACACTTAATGTGTCTGCAATATTGCCCTAGTTATCAACAAATACAAGTCATGGTCTTTCCACTTCCAAAACACTGACCAAAGACCTGATCTTGGGCTGATCCATGTGAGTCAAGTTATTTAAATACAGAAGAATTTGCAGGATCGGGATGTTCAATCCCAGTGAAGTGAAGAAATCTTATTTCACATTTCCAGTCATTAAGGTTGCAATGGAAACATGACTAGGTCTGCCATTAACATTTCTTCCACTGGCAGAACAACAATGATGACAACAAATGCCAGTCATTTAACAAGTCATTGATTTAGGACAAGAGCATGGGAAACGACTAATCACACTGAAAAAGAACAGAGAGCTTCTTCATAGCTATTCAGAGTTACACAACCATTGCTGAGGTGTTCGAAGGCCTTGTAAATACTAACAAAATCTGATTCCTATTTATTAGCTACAGAAATACTCGAAAGCTAATAAAAAGTTTATTTCCATCTACGAACGAACATACTGCGCAGTTTAAGAAACAACATGTAACTGAGGTGAAATGTGCAAGACTGAAAGCCCCCAAGTCACTCTCCCACACTTGCACACCACTCCCCTGGCCAGGCCCCCAACTCACACATCCCCCCCATACACACACTCCTGTAGACACACACACACACACACTCACTCTCTTCTATACAGACACACACACACAATCCTCTATACAGGCACACACACTCTTCTATACACACACACACACACACTCCCCTACACATGCGCACACACACGCTCACACATTCCTCTAAACACACAGACACACACACACTTCTATACACACACACACTCCTCTATACAGACACACATACTCCCCTACACGTGCGCGCACACACACACACACACTCCTCTACACACACACGCTCACACATTCCTCTAAACACACAGACACGCACACACTTCTATACACACACACTCCCCTACACGCGCACACACACACGCACCCTTCTACACACTCACACTCCCCTACATGTGCACACACACATTTCTATACACACACTCCTCTATATACACACACACACACCCCTACACGCGCGCGCACACACACACACACACTCCTATACACACACCACACTCCTCTATACACACACAGAGACACACACACAGACACACACGCTCTTCTATACACACACACGTCCCCCTACACGCCCGGGCGCGCGCACACACACACACACTCCTATACACACACCACACTCCTCTATACACACACAGAGACACACACACAGACACACACGCTCTTCTATACACACACACGTCCCCCTACACGCCCGGGCGCGCGCACACACACACACACTCCTATACACACACCACACTCCTCTATACACACACAGAGACACACACACAGACACACACGCTCTTCTATACACACACACGTCCCCCTACACGCCCGGGCGCGCGCACACACACACACACTCCTATACACACACCACACTCCTCTATACACACACAGAGACACACACACAGACACACACGCTCTTCTATACACACACACGTCCCCCTACACGCCCGGGCGCGCGCACACACACACACACTCCTATACACACACCACACTCCTCTATACACACACAGAGACACACACACAGACACACACGCTCTTCTATACACACACACGTCCCCCTACACGCCCGGGCGCGCGCACACACACACACACTCCTATACACACACCACACTCCTCTATACACACACAGAGACACACACACAGACACACACGCTCTTCTATACACACACACGTCCCCCTACACGCCCGGGCGCGCGCACACACACACACACTCCTATACACACACCACACTCCTCTATACACACACAGAGACACACACACAGACACACACGCTCTTCTATACACACACACGTCCCCCTACACTTTCGACGCCCAGTAGGTTGCCACCCCCGAGTGCCCCAAACGCGCGTGGCCTCGGGCATCCCTAAGGTAATGGATCAGGCTTTAAAAAAAATCACAGGATCAAGAAAAAACAGGAGGATGCAGCACTGTAAAGACTAACACCATGGTTTATTAGGTGATGAGCTTTGCCAGTTTTGTGCACCTATTCACTCTGCTGATACCATCATTGGACCTAACCAAGTGAGTTATAAGATCAAGAACCCATATTCCTGCTCCTCCAGCAATATAATTTATGCCATCATGTGCTGAAAGTGTCCACCTGCTATGTACATTGGACAAAGGTCTCAGACACTTTGCCAAAGGATCAATGCCCACAAAGCAGATATTAGACAGGCTCACAAAGAAAAAACAGTTTCTTACCATTTCAACCAGAAAGGACACTGTCTCAACGAGAAAAAACAGTTTCTTGCCATTTCAACCAGAAAGGACACTGTCTCAACGACTTAATTACCTGCATCCTGCTTCAAAGACCTTTTAACACCAGACTTGAAAGAGAATCCTCTGAACTGTCATTCATGCTTAAATTTCACACTTTATGCCTAGATCTTAACAAAGACACTAATTACCTTACCCATTACAAAAAAGAGCTTCCCCAATTATCACTTCTAATATCATTATCTCACCGACATTTACCTTTCCCCACCCCAATCCTCCTTCTGTTCTGAAATTTGATTTGTCCTTTTCATATGTGTTCATTTTTTTGATTGTATCCTTTGGTATATATGGTCATGCCAATTTTCTTCCACTATTTGATCTGAGGAAGTGGGTCTGGCCCACAAAAGCTCATCACCTAATAAACCATCTTGTTAGTCTTTAAATTGCTACATAGTCCTGGTTTTGGTTTCAGCTAGACCAGACTAACACTGCTAGATTTCTATCAGGATTAAGAAAAGTTTGAGTTTCTTTCGTATGTGCTCAGTCCGGTCACCACAGCCCAGCAAGTACCCCCACTATGTCGCACCACCCTAGCCAGTTTGAACTAAAAGCTGGACTGTTCATGTAATCGCTTGGCTCCTGGAGCTGGGGCTTCCAGAAGGACACCAAACAATGTGAGTCTGTGCCAATCATGAGGAGCAGGACCAAGTCCCATGGTCCACTTGCAATACTGTACATACAAAGTCACAAAAGCTATGGCTCCAGAAACCATAGCTTATACTCATCATGTTCCTCTTGTGGGAGGAGAGGAGAAATTTGATTATTCATGGACAACAAGAAATATTTTTTAATTGTCATGGTGGACACTGATAGACCCATTACAAATGTGATTGATAAAGAAGAGCTGCAGGAGGAAAAAAAGTATCAACCAACAGCTGAATTAATACTTAACTTTGGCACCAATTCACGCTAATGATTCTATATTTCTCTTCTCCCTGGCTTCCATATTAAGTTTGCTCAGGTCAAAAGATTAATAGTCCAACTACAAGCACTGCATTCTTAATGTGGAAAACAAGTTTATTGTTGTTGTTTATGTAATGCAATAAACATGCATTCATGTAACAAACAAGAAGTGAGACATAGTTCCTGATTGGAAAAGCATATAGTTTAAGGTTGATTTCAGTGCAGACCCCAGTTGAAGACATCAGGGCTCTGGGCTGGCAGAAGGATCAACAGAGCAATCAGAGAAGGAACTGAACCTAATTCATTTAACTGCACAGTACAAGATATGTTCCATGTGTTGTACTGGCCTCTTATATCAGCAGCAGTAATAATGATTCTGATTTAAAAAGCTGATGGTCTTTATGGTGCATAAGAAAGAACATGCTGTAACTTACTCTTCAATAGTTATGTTGCTTCTGCTGTGCAAACAGGCACAAAACATTTTTTATTAGTAAGAAAAGCAAATATGGCTGAAAACACACACACAACTGAGGCTATGTCTCGACTGCATTGCTTTTTTGGGATACTTCTGGTATCCCAAAAAAGTGATGCCATGTCCAAGGAACATGTCTGCTTCTTTGAAAAAAATTTCTAAATGGACGCGCTCTTTTGCCATCCCTGTAAACCTCATTCTACAAGACATAAGGGATGGTTCAAAAGAGCACTTTTTTCCGAATTTTGGAGCCATGTAGATGTACTTAATTTTGAAATAGCCTCTTTCTAAAGTAAATCAGAAAAAGATATGCAATTTGCAGTATCTTTTTCCAATTTAACTGTGCAGTCTAGATGTAGCCATAGTAAGACATTTTTATATTGCCACTTTTTTGATTGCTTTAGAATGGACTTTACTCACAGAATTGGAGCAAAGAGGGAATTAGGAAAAACCTGAAGAGACCTCTTTAGTCCAGAGTTTGCTGAAATGTGATTTCTCCAGTACTGATTTAAATCTTAAATTGATCCTTCTCCCAACACATTAAAATTCAGTGCTACTCTGCAATGTGTAAAATACAAGCTAAGTCTGCATCTCTCCTTTTGCCTCCACAAATTCACCCTCTGTGATTTTACATTAAGATGATGACCCCATGGATAAACTCAGTGTCTCCCTCAATCTGTATCCCTGGGCAGCATATTGGGCTTGATGAATTGAACAAAGGATTCCCTTATGAGACTGTAGGAGGAAATTTTTATTTTTAAAAGTTAATTCTGCCCAAAGATGGATTAGTGATGGCTAATTGCCATAGGCAGCTCATAATGGACAGCAGTATCTGCGTTCCCATCTGGGAATCATGCCTTGAACACCCATGGCTGATGCACATGCATGATCTTTTGGCTATCTAGAGTCATCCCCATCTGTTTGAGTGGCATGATTCCCACTCTAAATTGGTCTTACATTTGCCCTAGAGCATAGATCCCACACAATAATAGATGCATGGGCAGCCTGAAGAATAACATAATGATCACCTCTTTTACAGGAAGCTCTTCTTTAACAACACTAAACATTTAAACTTAATTGTAGTTATTGACATATATATGCCAAGAAGAGAATAGCTGAGAAGTAAAGACGATGGAATTTAGAAGGATTTTGAGCTTTCATCAAAACTCTGTTGTAGGACAAAGTGACTACTCGTTCTCATTTGCTCAATACTGTTGGTCATATTATTCAGGATATGTTCTAATGTACCTATTCAGTGTTGCTGTGATGTAAGCATGTGCTCTTAGCTAGGTTTAGGGATTGCATGGTAAGTGAATGTACCCTACTTTAATAACAACAGAAGAGAGAGCCGTATCATAAACATTAAAAAGCAGCCTGCATATTTCCCTAAAACAAGGAAATACTGAAAATGGATCTGATTTATGGGTGAATAGAAAAGGGTCACACTACAGAGTGCAAAGATGGCTATGAAAAATATCCCCATGGCAAAGGGCCAGTATGTAGTCACTTCCATGTACAACAGACATGGTGAGGGGTTCATAACAGCTGCATATTGAAATGTTCTTCATTAGTTCCCATAATAGAAGGACTAGAGGACACCAAACGAAATGAATGGGTATGAGCCACAAAAAAACCCAAGGAGAGAAAAGGAAAAAGAGGATTTGGGGACTAAAAATGCAAGACAAATAAAAGGGAGGGACAGTCAGATAAATGGAAACATTTTCTCTACTGGGAAAAAAAGCTGTTTTTAAGTTAGAAAATATATATGAGATCATGGCAAAAAGATTTTTCCTTTTCTTCAGCAAACACTGGAATATTCTTCTAGTCTGAAAATGATTTTGTAAAATTCCCCCTTCTTACTCAATAGTTCTATTTTCTTTTCCATTAGATCTGCTAACTGTATTTACTAAAGTTAGTTTCTGTTGCATAATTTGCTCATGTTAGCCCTGCAGAACATACACAGCTCTTTGGGAGAGTGAGATGGAGTGTATTCTGGCTTGCTCATTAGCAGATCTGTAAATTCCAGTTGCAGAATCATTGGCTCTTGATGGATGCGTGAACCAGAAAAAAAATCCCAGACTAGTTGGCTATTTCCACATTGAATTTGCAGAGATCAGAGTTAGGAACACACCCTCTGTTTCACTCCTGATATTGTTACCTGAGAACTAAGTAGGTTTGTTTTGTGAGTCATTGAGAAACAAAAAACAGATATGTAGCCCCTTTTTACCTAGTCTCTAAAGTACAGCTGTACCTTAAAGTAATACTGGCTTTTTTTGTAGACATCCCCTCCAGCTTGTTTGGAACTGTTCAGCAGACCAGCGTGGATTAGTCCGTTATGGAAAAACCTGCAAAGCAGAAACAGCCAATTTCTGTGGTTTCAAAATATTGCACAATAGTGCAGAACCCTTCTTGGAGTTTCCTGATGTCTATGTTGTGGTGTTGCTGTTGTTATTTATAAATTACCACAGGAGCCACCAGCTGTCATCATAAAAATTTTATTGGCACTCTGTAAATACTAAACCAGCATGCTAAAATCATGCCATGTGCAGTGGCAGCTGATGCTCTCTTATGGAGGTCATATGCAAGAGAGAGGATTGTTTTATGATTCCCATGATTCTTACTGCCTATAAATCCTCTGCTTCATGACAGTATATTCCAATATTAAATCTAGGCCCAGTCATACCCGACTGATCCTTGTGTAGAATGGATTCTGTGCAAAGAAATCGCTCCCCTCACATGAACAGGGAAATCTACTGCATATACAGCACCATCCTCCTCTTCCTGGATCCTGCTAAATTCTGAGTGAATTCTGTGTTACCACTTCTCCTTTTTGCAATAACAGCACTAACCTGTTTCCTGGTTTTGTTGTAAATCTTGTTAACCTATATAATAGACACTCTAATATTAGACCGGTAGCCAAATTCCTCATGACTCAGAATGCTATTTTCTTGATCCACTTTCTTGAGACACCACGGAGGCTTTCATCATCTGCAATATCAGAAGCTAGAAATGAGGCATGACATTTTCAGGGGCATGAAGATTTGTTAGTTGCCAATGGCATGTGATGTTATGATATCATCCATTGACATGTGGATGATGATTTTATTTAAAAAATGAAGATGCTGAATAGGAAGAAAAGAAAGTAACCTTTAGAATCCCTTCTCTCTCTTTCTGATCCAGGAACTAGGGCTGTGTCTAGACTGCATCCCCTTTCAGT